CCGTCAAGGATAGTGTTAAAGATTCTATAGAAACTTTCAATTAAAAAGTGTTTTATAATCTTTCAATTTAACAAAATTGAAATCTTTATTAATTTCTTCCATACGTAATACGTTAGAAAATATATTTCAAAAAAGTAAAGTAGAAAAAAAAAATGGATAGTAACAGGTGAAAAACAAGGAAATGAATTATTAGAGAAAGGGGTCCTGTTATATTTGGAGCGAAAACACAAAAATTTATATTTCTTAAAAATTTAAAAATGTATTAAACTAATGCATAGATGATAGATTTTATAAACAAATTTTATAAATTATTGGGGAAAAATATTTTCTAATGCAATTTCGTGCTTGCCAATTATTAGCATAACATTTCAATTTTCATAGCTGTATAAGGTATATTAATTATATAGATCTAGGGGCCTAGAGCTATGTATATAGATAATCTAACCTTAGGTATAATAATAATAGATTAACGTAATTATTTAGATAAGAATCTGTAGAAAAAGCGTTCACCCGCTGGCTAATAAGTCAGCACAGATTTGCACTCACACGTAGTCCTAGGACGCTTGGCCTATTGTAGATGATATAACTAAGTTAGATCTAAACTAGATCTCTGATGAATCATTTGCCAGCAGGTAAGTGTTTTTTTATACAGATTCTTATGATCTTATCTAAATTATTATTAAGACCTAGTCCGCCTAGCCTGCTAGTAAAGTTGCGTTGTAAACACGCGTACTAAGTTGTAACGTTATTATTAGGCCTATACATACAATTGTTAACAACCGGTTCGTGAAGGTCATTAAATTCTAAGAACAGGTTCGCACGAACCGGCTGAATCCCACCACTGTATCTTAGTGGAAAAGTTTGTACCTAAAATATATTATAAGCATAAAAATGTAAAAATTCATGAATAAATAATTTGATTAAATAAATAAATTAATAATATACAACTCCAGAGAACGCTGCGCACGCACACATGATTTAAACCGATATTTCACGTGTCTAGTGTTCTAAAGTTATTAAAGAAATACCCCAGAAATAAAAATTCATTTAGTTGTTGTTATTATTACTGGTGTAAAAACCCGTCAAAAATGACGAGAAATCACAACTATTTCGTATAAAACTGGCAATAAACAAAATATATAAATAAAAGAAATATAAAATTTCCTTTCCCAGGAACATACTAGATATTAATCCTGGATCAACAACATGTAACTGAGCAAACATACTACATATTGGTGACCTTGGATAAAAGATTAAAACAAACGATGATTACATACACACCTGTTCTTCTTCTTCTGAGAAAAAGTCGTCCTCTTCCCTACAGATAACTGGTATCTTCAGTCTGTTATAACAAAGGTTTTTCATAATAATTCCCAAGCGCTAATTTTTTATTTATTTTTCCCAGGAGTCTTCCCGGCTTTCCTAATGGGATCCGACCTAGTTTGACGTCATAATGATTTGGATGATATTGTGTCACACACATAACGCCATGCCTGATTTGGTCCTGGGAGCTTCGGTTTTTCCCTGGCAGTTATTTAGATTTAAAAATAATTATTTCCGAAGGAAATAATTATTAATCTGGGGTGCTCGAAGATTAAGCAATCCTCCTTCACCCCGCTCGTGGTAAAAGGTTACATGACGTTTAGAGGTCAGCGGAGTACTGAGCCGAATGGGCTAAGGGTAATTAAATAAACAAAAGAAGAAAATTAAAAAAGTGAAGCAGAGTACCTTAAGGCTAGAGAAAACACAAAACGGCCGATATCGGACAGATGGTCCTTCAGGGCGGCGGGGATTTAGAAATCCTATGCCGAGAATTTAATGTGGGAGAAACGGGAATGCCCCGGGAAAACCCACTTTCACTGGTAACGTCTGATCCGTTACCAGTGCTCTATTATTGAGAAGAAGTAAGTCGCAAGTAGGGAAGGCAAAGTGAAGACCAGTGCTGGGGGTGATTAATTCTTGTAATCGTTGTGCAGTCTCCTGGAGTTTATCGTGGCAGTGAACAGGCTAAGTTTCTGGCTCCGGGCTCGAGGTATAGGCGTGGGGTTCTCAGTGTCGGAGGCAAGAAATCGGAAGGCTGTGAAAGGTTCGTCGGGTGGGTGGGGTCGGGGGAGGTGTCGATAACTAGGGCGTCCGATGAGTTAGACGTTGGGGGTGTTGGAGACAATGGCTTGGGGCTGGGATGCGTGCTGGTGGTCTGTTGAATGGTGTCAGTGGTAAGTGGTGGCTGTGTCTGGGTGGCTTTTTTCCTCCTTGCAGTGGTGGTTTGTGTGGACATCTCACGTGTTTTAAGAGTCGGAGAAGTTTGGGTAGCTTGATCGAATGTTCTGGGGTGGATGGTAGGGATCTGGTTGACGGTTGTATTCGTTGTGTTAAGAGATATAGTCATGGGGGTTGGATTAGGAAAG